TGGCTTGGCTTTGGACAGAACGGTGTCGCTGAAGAAGCAGTTATACACAGTTATAAAACCATAAACCCTAAAAAAAAAACAACCAGTAGAATCTGTCTTGATCAATTATTTTGTATCGTCCACATTCTCCATAATTAAGAACACTGTAGGGGCTCAGCTTTAATAGGTATTATCGGTATTTTTGTTGGGTTTTTCCTCCCTAATGTGTAAATTATTCAGGTCAAATCACACCATAGTTAGCAATATAAGGCCTCAACCCCAGTTTTTACGCTTATTTGTTTGAATTAGTTTTCATTATTTGTCTAATTCGACATCTGTTTTGTTATAAAGCACTTTGTACCTTTATTTTCCAAATGTTTAGTCGCCGTGCTGCGTTTAGTTTACTGATTTATTTTCATTTTCAGTCTCAGAGTCTCACAATGGTTCACGTTTGGCTAAATTTTAAACGAGAATAAAATGCTTTTCGATGAAATATCACAATTTTAAGCTGAGATGTGGTTAATTTTCCTGAAGGAACCACGTTTGTTGCACGATTAGAACAAGGACCGCAGGAAAGTTGGTTCACAAATTAGGTTTTCTTTCTGTTTTTACGACGTTTGACTCATTAATCATTCTGCAGACATTTATAGTTTCTGGATCTGGTGCAGATGGTTTATCGTATTTTCTTGTGATTCTGATGAAACACCACATTTTTAATCTTAGTTTTGGCGATTATTCTTGACATGATTCACAGACCAGTGGAAAGTTAACAAGTCTGACGATGTTCTCTGTTTTTGCTGCTTTTTGCTCTCTTTGACATTTTTTTGCAAAAGAAAACGCGCCTTTCACAGTGTTGTGGGGTTCAGAGAGTTAAACGTTGTTGTTGTGTGTGGATTAATATGATCTCATCCTCTGGACCGGCAGCAGATGACTCTGTCTGACGTCCAATAATGCTGTAAGAGGAGGAAGTTGACTTGTGATTATGAGGTGATAATATTACGCTGCTGCTGCTACGAGACGTGGAAGTCTGGCCAACGCACAACCGTCTCCTGAACCATATCAACCTGTGAGATGAACTTGTCTGCAAAAATACCAAACTGACAGTCGCAAGTTTTGACCTTTTCGGATAACGTAAGTGTAACTCAGCGTTTCTGTTGTGGCCTCCGGGCCCTGCAGCCGCATAATGAGTGTCAGAAATGTCTAAAGCAGCACCTGCAGCGTCCTAAAGAAGTGCTGACATGCCTTTTTTGTACTGTTTTACAATCTGTAGTCATGTCTTCGCCCCAAACGAGAATGTCTCGTCTTGATTTCCACAGTCCTAATTCTCACATAAAGCATTTTGACACAAATTCCAGGGGCAGATGAAGAAGCTGCTCATTAATAGTCACCTGGAATTGGGTTTGTCATGCAGCTAGGCCGCTCTCGGAGGCTTTTCTGAAGCAACCTAACAGTAAAAAGATGCAAAATGAGCTCGCTAGCATGCACAAAATGCCTATAAATGTGATAGAAAAGACAAAACACAAGCCTGTGTGAGCAACAAAAATCGTTTTTAGCATTTACACTCCTCTTAATGTGAAGCTGTGCCATCGGGAAAAATACTCAAAGTGCATTAAAAGCTACTGTCAGGACCAGTGAAATGTATATAGAGAAGCTTTAAAGGTTCATTTCTGTGTAGTTTGATGTCTTTTCATGTTCTTTATGACGTTTTCTGTTGTTTTTATGTTATAGTTAAATGTGTTTTTATGAGGCTCCTTTCATGCCTGTATGTAAAGCAACATGCCGTTCTGTCCCTGCATGGACAATAACTCAAGTCTGCTCCTCTGGTTTGCTTTGTTTTAACAAAAAATATACGACGTCGACCTTTAATGCATTCACACGTCAGACTGAAGCTAACATGCTACTGCTACAACATAAAGGAAGCATTACGAGGTCGATTTTGATGAAATACTACAATTTTAAGCTTATTTTTAGCAATGCATGATGCATTCACAGACCGTCGGAAAGTTAAAGAAGTCCGGTTTTTCCCCTTAAATGGTGTAATTTTGACAGTTTTTGTGACGAGAACATGTCTTTGAAACCTGCTGTCAGCTTTGTTTTAACTATATATATGACTTTGACCTTTAATGCATTCTTATATGTCAGACTAGATGCTAATGCTAACATGCTAATGCTACATCATAAAGGACGCGTTAGGAAGTTTTGATTTTAAATAAATATTGCAATTTTAAGCCTATTTTTGGCTGTTTGTCAGAGACAAGTTCATGATGCATTCACAGACCGCTGGAAAGTTAAAAAAGTGTAAAGATACTCTCTGTTTTTCCAGTTTTTCCTCTCGTTGAAATAGTTTTTGTAACGAGAACATGTCTTTGAAACCTGCTGTCGGCTTTGTTCTAACAATATACAGCTTTGACCTTTAATGCATTCATGTATGTCAGACTACAGCAATACTAACATGCTAATGCTACAACATTAGGAGGTTGATCATGATACAGATTTTGATGAAATACTACAATTTTAAGCTTTTTTTGGGCATTTGGCTGTGTATGATGCATTCACGAACAGCTGGAAAATTAAAAACGTTGGATGCTACTCTGTGTTTTTGCAGTTTTTTTTTCGCTCTTAAAAAGTTTTTGTGCCGAGAACATGTCTTTGAAACTTGCTGTCGGCTTTGTTATAACAATACACATGGTTTTGACCTTTAATGCATTCATATGTCAGACTAAAGCAATGCTAACAGGCTAATGCTTCTACATAAAGAACGCATTAGGAGGTTTTGATTTAAAAAAAAGAAGTGCATGATGCATTCACAGACCGTTGGAAAGTTAAAGACACCTGCTGCTGACTTTGTTTTAACAGCATATATGGTTTTGACCTTTAATGCCCTCGTATGTGTGAGTCCACAGCAGCGCTAACATGCTAATGCTACAACATAAAGGACGCATAGGGAGGTTGATCGAGCGTGCTGCTGTTTAATAGTCCGTGAAGTCTCGTCCCTGCGTGAGTGCAGTCGGTCTAAAACACACAAACTGCTTCTCTTTGACCTGATCCGACATTTGCTCTGACACACGGGTCGGCCCTGTGCTCTTTCACACCGTTTTATTTTGGGCCCGCTCACCTGTCTGTCCTCCTAAACTGTCACGTCAGTCGGGTTCGCGGTCGCGCTGCTCAAATAAAAGACGTCCCGACCGGCTTTCTACTTTTTTTTTTTTCCTCCCCGCACTGTGATTTGTGTAGGCGGCGACGTGTTTGGAGAGAAATCTAAATGTCACACATTTTTCCCAGTTCACTTATTCATATCCCAGAGCGAGACTGAACAAGATGCAACACGGTCCAACAGCAGCTCATCATGTAGCGCCCCGACACTGTCTCACTGCTCCACAAAAGACGATAAACTCCCTCTGGACTGAGTCTTTGAGGTGTTTTCTGCTCAACTGTTGAGGCGTCGTTGGACATTTGTGGCTTTTTGTGTCTTTAAATGAAGCAAACTCTGTCTTTTGTGACACTGTCGGTCTTTTTTTTGCTCTCTGTAGTTGTTTTGTTGCTCTTTCTAAATCATCATGTTTCTTTGTTGCCCTGAAAAGCTGCAGAATTCTTTGTTGTTGTTGTTGTTTTTTACAGGATCTGGTGCAAATGGTTTAATTGTGGTGTATTTTTGTGTGATTTTGGTGAAAAGCTACAATTTTTTTTCTTGACAAAGCCACACATGATGCATTCAAAGACTGCTGGAAAGTCAGAATGTGGGACTCTACTTTCTGTGTTTGTTGAGTTTCTGTAAAGAAAACATGTTTTAAATGTTTCTGTGGGTTTTGGGGTAAAGAAGCGTCCTAAAGAAGTGCTGACATGCCTGTTTTGTACTGTTTTACAATCTGTAGTCATGTCTTTGCCCCAAACGAGAATGTTTCGTCTTGATTTCGTCTGACTTCCACAGTCCTAATTATCACATAAAGGCTTTTTAAAAATAGATTTGACGCAAATTCCAGATGTAGAAGAAGCTGCTGATTAATAGTCACCTGGAGTTGGGTTTGTCATGCAGCTAGACCGCTCTTAGGGGCTTTTCTGAATCAGTCTAGTAACAAAAAGTGCAAAATAAGCTCGCTAGCATGCACAAAATGTCTGTAAATGTGATAGAAAAGATAAAATACAAGTCTGTGTGAGCAGGAAGGGAAGAAACGAGCAACAAAAATCATTTTTAGCATTTACACTCCTCTTAATGGGAAGCTTTTTGGTGAAAAATTGCAATTTTAGACTTATTTATTTTTGACAAAGCCACACATGATGCATTCAAAGACCGCTGGAAAGTCAATATGTGGGACTCTACATTCTGTTTTTTGCTCTGTTAAGTGGTGTAAGTTTGAGAGTTTCTGTGAAGAAAACATCTTTTAAATGTTTCCGGAGTATTACAAGCTGTTATTTTGAGTTTTCTGGATTTTCCTGACAACTGCCGTATTTCCATTTTGTTTTTTTTAATGCACATTTGCACAAGAAATGTTGAAAAACCTCATGACCGATGAGATATTCATGCTTTTTTTGTGTTGATACCAGCTGACATAAATCACAACTTTCCCAAATGAGAACAGTTCCTAAAGACCTAGTTTCATAGAGGGTCAAGTTTTGTTTGTTTCTTCTTCGAGGTTTCTTCGTGGTTTTGCAGCCAACAGCCACGAGGCCTACAGCGCCACCATCTGACGACACTGTGCAGCCAAATTTATTCACTTGGAAAATAAAGCCTTATTCGCGTTTCCTTTTTAAATGTTTTTTTTTTTTGTGTGACATTTCAGAAGTGTTGCTTGACAATTAGGTGGACGTATCGCTGTAGATGCTGTTTTCTGTGTGATGTCAAACAACATGACTCATATCTTTAAATAAACCGTTTGATTAGCAGCAGCTCCACTGGTTTGTTCAGGTAGATTTTGTTTGGAGAAGCTTTTGTTGAAACCTCATTGACCGATGAGGTGTTTTAGTTTCTGAAGCTTCCCTGAAAGCCTCTAACTCTGACGTTATTTTTCCTCCGTGTCTTCCAGAGCGGTGAAATGCTGCCGGGAGTCTGCGTATGACCAAGTATGTCGTCAGACTTCTGCTCCAGAGACGATGTGGTGGACCGGGGGCCCATCCCCCTCGACATCGACAATGTCCACATGCTGCTGCAGGGTCAGTCGCATGTTTTATTTCCAGAAAACACCGACTCAAGATGCAGTCAAATGTACTTTAGCATCTCAGAAGACCAGAGCAGGTTCTTTGTTTAGGATTTGCCAACGTCTATAGCGGGACCAGAAATATTAATTATCCATGTTTTCTTCAGGTAGAGCACTGATTAACTGTTGTGTCTGAGCCACAGAGTGTAGATGAAAGATGGATTTAGCCTCCAAGTCTGAAAAGACGCTTTAAATCTATGTTTTTTCCAGCAGCCAGCAGGGGGCGACTCCGATAGTCCGGTAGTATAAAAGGCAATGAGAAAATGAGTCACTTCCCACTTGATTTGTTACCTCTGTTAACATTTTTCTAATGAGGTTATGGCTCTAATTGGTAGTTTAAAGTCTGCTTCAGTACATCATGATGCTTTTATTAAATTATGGTCCTATTTACATGAAGATAAAGCAGCTGTCCACTGCAGGAACTGGCGTTTACAGACACAGCCTCCAGAATCGGCCATTTCAACCATTCTATTGTCGTTACACAGCTGTTTCTTGAGGATTGCTTGGAAGTACCCATGAAAACAGCCTTAAAAGAGGTTCTACAGGGGCGGTTCCTGCCCTCAGAACATGTCCAACGGTTCAAGCTGATCTAAAATAGTGGAAACAGGCTATAGATGGCAGATGTGCCTTGTGATTAACTTCACTGTGGAAAATGACTCTCTGACCAGCTTCAGCAGCATCTTCACAAGGTCTTTAGCTTCTGTTCTGGGGTTTGTTTGCACATTTCAACCAGAACCCTTCATCTCTGGACACAGAACCGTCTCCTTCCTGAGCCTATGATGGCTGGACATTCCCATGGTGGTTATACTTGATATGACTGTCTGAACAGATGAATGTGGAACCTTCAGGCATCTGGAAGTTGTACCCAAGGATGAACCAGACTGGTGGAGGTCCACAGTTCTCTTCCTGATATCTTGGCTGGTTTCTTTAGATATTCCATGTTGTCACAGAAGGAAGCAGTGTGTTTGAGGTGTTCCTTAAAATACATCCACCAGTGTGCCTCCAGTTAACCAATCAGAAGCTTCCAAAGCCATGACATCATCATCTGGGCTTTCCCAAACAGTTTGAAGGCATCTTAGTGCACATATGTATGTGGACATATTCAGTCATCCTTATAAAAGCCTTGTTCTAAATGTCAGATTTCTTGCTTCTCACATAGTTTAATGTAAATCTGTTCCAAATGTTGGTTTTCCGTCTCATTGATCACCAATAATCAGCACCAGTTGATCCCTGATTTCTTCCAACGAGAGTTTAAGCTGAACTGAGTGAATATTTGTTAGTTTCTGGCTCTGAGAGAAGTCTGAGGTCACGCATGGAGAAGAACATCTTCATCCCAGTTACCGAGGCAACACAAGTCGAGTTTCTGACTCAGTTCGACGACCTCGGCCCGGTTTCACTTTTATCACAGTTCTTTTTTATTATTTTATTTTTTTCTGCTCGGTTTTGATCTGCTGAAACCGAATCTGTGAGTCATTTTGCTGAGATCCCTCCGGAGGGAGAAGGCGGGAGGGCGGAGGAGATAATCAGCGCTCATCATCCCGCTGTCTCCCGGGGCGACTCTCCGCAATCCGAAGCCAAACTTTGATGCGTCGCCGTCGTCTTCTGATCGTCTGATTGCACTCAAATTAGTTAGTTTTCCAACTCATCTGAAGATTTGGCCGTTTATCTCCTGTTTTTGACGGGTTTTTTCAGCGTGAGTCATCGGCTGTTCTTATTAAATTATCAGAGTTATTGATTTAAGTATCAAAGCGAATTCCAAACACGCTCCGGCTCCATGTGACATTCAGCAGCTCAGGAACTGAAACTTTTAGCTTTTCGGACTCTCGGTTTAGACGTTAGAAGCTGTTTAACGCCTCAATAAATAACTAATTAGTTCAAATGATAATTAGCTGCAGTTCTCTGCGTGAACAAAAACCCCCTTTGACTTAGTGACAGAGAAACACCACCGGGTAGGTTCTTCCAAAACATATTTGTTATGTAATATGTGATGTTTTACGTCTGGGTTTGGATTTGTTGAAAGAAAAAAAAGTGACTCGAGGTCATACGTCAACTTTTTTTTTTTTTTTTGCAAATACCACCGGGGTTACTGAAGTTCAAAGCCACACTATTGTATCATGAGTATAAAACGTCACTGGTTGCACGATTAATCACTTTTACAGGTGTGCGACCGGCAAAGCAGAGCTCCAGATTTACCTTTTTTTTTTTTTACTCGTAACGCTGAGAAACTGAAGCCTCTTTGTTATATTGATCCACCTTTCATTCAAGTTGTGCACCGAAGACTTCAAATTTGCCGTATATCACAAAATATATTCACTTTCTCGCCATTTTTTCCTGGAGGTTGTCTGATATCACTCTTATAAACCCGTCAACAGGCTAAGCTTCAACAGGCGCTGTAATTTACATACGTTCCCTAAACGCCTCACGTGCAGACGAGAAACCTTTGCCGGTGGAGTTAGTTTCATTGTGAGACGATAAAAACATGATTGTGATGAGATTTAAATACATTTTTCAGCCCATCAGTTCTTTGTCAGTTCTTCTTCTTGGTTGCACGAATGCATTAATGTAAATTTTTCACTCGCAGTTTGGATCCCTGATGCACCAAATCCAAAGCTGAACAAGAAATGCCTCAAATATTGCACTTTAGTTGATGTCAAACAAACCTGCTTTAGCTTAAAAAGGTCCAAGATGGAGCTGTTAACGCTGATTATCTGGTGATGGAGGCGACAGATTTGAGGTCACACGTTGCATTTAAGAAAAATAAGGTGACAAATCGTGCCGGTGTTTTACAATAAGAAAGAGAATCAAAACGTCTAAATGCAGTATAACAATAAAATAATGATATTAACAAGCGTGCACATTGTCTTTGTGTTCCAATCAACCGTCTTTATTAGCAGTAATTCAATTTAAAGTGCTTTGAACTTTACAAAAATGCAATAAAAGGCACCAGTTTAGCATCTTAAATAAGCAAAGTGATTCACAGTTTAAAATTCACAATTAAAAATAGCAGAAAGTGAGATTTGGGCATCAAATGATTATTATTTGAGTAACTTTCTACTCTTGTTTTTCCACTTCCTCTCCATCCACTCACCTTGTTTCTGTCAACCCTTCTCTTCAGTTTTTGTGCTTGCAGGATGCTTCACCGGACTATTTTTAGCACCGTGTATTTTTTTTAAAATGAAAGCCTTGTAAATGTTTCTCCAGCGATGTAATTTCCAGCTGCGACAGCTTCGACTCGTTAACTAAGAAAGCAGCAAAGTCTTTTTTTTCTTTCTTTCTTTTCTCAGCACACACACATATGTTTGAAGCGGTAACGATGAAAGAATGCCTCTAAAAATAACTGGCTATGAGCTACGTGATGTGGGATGTTTGCTTGAGCGCGGTTCAGATGGATATTTCCCGGTGCAGGTAATCGGGTTTTACTACGAGACACCTCCAGTTTGATTTACTGCTTCAGAGCTGGTTTAGAGTTGTTGCCCAGAAACGTTCGTGTCGGTTGTGTGGCTGCAAACGGTGCTGCACAATGAATCAGCTGCTAAACACAATCAGGGTTTTGGACACGGTGTACAGCGATGTTGGCGTTTTAAATGATCCGCTGTTGTAGATAAAATACCGGCTTGATTGAATCTGACATCAGAACGCCTTATTTTGCTGTTTTTAAAGGTAGTTTTTGGTGTCACATCCATCTGAGCTGCACTGACGGAGACTAGAAGCTTCACAGCCAACTAGCTAGCATCTAGCGTAGCCTGCACGAGGCGTTTAGGGAACATCGGTGAATTTTAGCGTGAAACGAGGAGTCGTGGGTACGATTTAATGTTTATTTGAGGTCTATTTTTCATGCGGATTTGGCAGCATTTTGCTAATTTCAGTGTAAAGATGCAATAAAAATCAACGAAAAATCATTTGACACACAAAACTGTGCAATAACACGAATATAACCCCACTAGTATTTATTAAAGTTCATACTGAGATTTTTATTTTCCTAGTAAAATGTACATTTTTGTATGTTATGCTTATATTTTTTCTGCTTATGTTATCTTCTCTCCTGCTTCAATTTCTAAAAATGTATGCATCAATCAATCAAGTATTTATGGTTCTTATTTTGAAGTTTTATGTACATGCAAATGCAAAAACTTAAGTTCTCTAAAATTGGTGAATAATCATGTTCTCAATATTAATAAAACCAATCATGATGGTCGCTTTTTATTTGGTTATTATCAGGAACAATGAATAATCAACTCCCTTTATGTAGAATCCAATTAAACAATTTTACTTTTTAGTTGAAAAGAAGAGAAAGAAGCTTCAAGTTCAGATTTTCGTTCTAGGTTCTCTTTACTTCTGTTCTTCACCACCTTAGTTTCATTTTTTAATGCAAAAATCCTCGATTGTCACACATAAATCTAACGATATTATTTCTTTAGTTAATGCTGGCTTTGATTTCCTCTGAAGTAACTTCTTCCTGCTCAAAACCTTATTTAGAACTTGGCATTTACATTCAACACACATTCAGATTTTTGCAGTCCAGAGCAGCGAAATGCTGAAGATTGAGACGCATTATTAAAACAAATCTCATCGTCACCGTGATGGTTTTGCAAAGTGCAGCATCCGGACTGTTCGGATTATTTCCAGTCTTATCTCCCACTATAGAGGCTCACTCATGCGCAGAGGTTACATGAGGTTGCGGAAAAGATCCCAAATTCACTTTCAATTTTCTGTTTGATTTCCCAGCTTGATTAGCGTGAAGCGCTCAGGATGCTGCAGTAGGACGTTGCAGGTCGAGTTCAGGCAGGTCTGAGCCTCGTTCAGAGGGGGCGGAGCCAACCCCGACTCACCTGCTTCCCTGCAGGCTAGAAACGCAAGACTGGCGGCTGGTTAGACGAGAATTATTCCCAAACTGATTTCATATATTCCTCGTCGGTTCGGCTGCAACCGCGGATCTGCAGCGTTTCGATCCTGAGC